ATTGTATATAGCAGTATAGTAATTGTCCCAATTGTATATAGCGGTATAGTAATTGTCCCAATTGTGTATAGCGGCATATTAATTGTCATAATTGTATATAGCGGTATAGTAATTGTCCCAATTGTGTATAGCGGCATATTAATTGTCATAATTGTATATAGCGGTATAGTAATTGTCCCAATTGTGTATAGCGGCATATTAATTGTCCTAATTGTATATAGCGGTATAGTAATTGTCCCAATTGTATATAGCGGCATATTAATTGTCCTTATTGTATATAGCGGTATAATAATTGTCCTAATTGTATATAGCGGCATATTAATTGTCCTAATTGTATATAGCGGTATAGTAATTGTCCTAATTGTATATAGCGGCATATTAATTGTGCTACTTGTCCTACCTGCAGCAGTATGTAGGTATATAATAATAGTCCTACCTATAGCAATATATATTAATTGTCCTACTTGCAGCAGTATACATATTAATTCTCATAAAGTAGCAGCATATTAATTACCATGTTAGGAGAATATTGTCCTCTTTGTAGAAGAATACTTTCCTATTTATAGCAGAATATTGTTCTATTTGTAGCAGTATGTTATTATAATTGCCTCCCTATCGTTTGCTGATTGTTGCCACTTTTTATCTTTAGAACTATTCAAAACCTTTAAAATTTGCATTTTCATAACTGACTTCTTTTACATAGAGCGCAGTGAATAATCGCTGATACCCACAACTGCTGAACATGCGGTAATATTGTTACGTTGTTATATGACAGTATTTATGGTTAAGTTGTGGTTAGGATTATTGTTAGGGTTAAGATTATAGTCAGGGTTATGGTTATGGTTATGGTTATGGTTATGGTTATGGTTATGGTTATGGTTATGGTTATGGTTAGGGTTATGGTTATGGTTATGGTTATGGTTATGGTTATGGTTATGGTTATGGTTATGGTTATGGTTATGGTTATGGTTATGGTTAGGGTTAGTGTTAGGGTTATGATTATGGTTATGGTTATGGTTAGGGTTATGCTTAGGGTTATGGTTAGGGTTATGGTTAAGGTTATGGTTAGGATTATGGTTATGGTTAGGATTTGCGTTATGATTATGGTTGTTAGGATTATGGTTGAGATTAGCATTAGGATTAGTACTCACATAATGTATACACAGACAGCAGTATATAGGTCCAATTCAGCTGGCATGCAATTATTCATATCCGAGTGTATCAGTGTTGTCAATGTTTTTGCTGCACAACTATTTTGGTTGTAACCCATATATGTAACTCTGCAGTCTAACACGACCTACCTTGTACCTCAGCGTCAGCTTCCTAGGTGATATAATCTTTGTCACTGGACAGTGGTTTGGCATGCACTCTTCATGATGATTGCTATTGTTACTACGATGGGACGTGGCAGTCTCCGGAAATGAGTGTGCAAGTGTGTGTAGTGTACACACGCGCGCATGTGTGTGACGGGTGATGTGGCATTATTGGGCACTCGTTATAAAAACCAGAAGCCGAAATATAGCGGCGTCTACACTATAGACTAAAACCCGCGTTTTTAAAACCCGCGTTTTCGGTGGTGCAGCGTCTACACTATAGACTAAAACCCGGGTTTTTAAAACCCGCGTTTTAGTAAAACGCGCGTTTTACGTGGTGCAGCGTCTACATTGTCAAAAACCCACCTTCCGTGAATGCACCCATCTAGTACTGAGTGGTGGGATACATAGCTAAAACGCGGGTTTTCTGTCATGTTCTGTCTACACTACGGCGCTCGACTAAAACGCGGGTTTTAGCAGAGCAAAACCCGGCAATATTGCCGGATCTGTAAAACCCGCGTTTTTACAAAACCCCCCTCTAAAACCCGCGCTTTAGCAACAGTGTAGATGCGGTAAACCCGGGTTTTAGCATAGTGTAGACGCCGCTTATATCTCGGTTTTATTTCATTTGTACAGCGTATTTTTCGTCCTGGAGTCGCATGTCTTCAATATCTGCTATCCCTGCTGACGATGATTCTGCACAGGATCCTACCTAGACAACAACAAAATCATCTCTGGTACACCAGCTCATTTTTTGTTTTGGCTTAGTTATAAGTTTAGTTTAGGAGTGCTCGGTAAATATTAAAAGGTATGAATTGGTATTAATGTGTGAATTATTGTGTGTTGTGTGGGAGTGTAGGTGCAGCGTGCATGTATATATACTTGTGTACTTGTGAACGCACACGTGCATGATTATAACGCATTCATGACGCTCGACTATTCTTTGTTGTTGAACATCCTTTCAATCCATCAATATATTATATCAGATTGAAAAATTGAATTGGAATTGTACTGGTACTGTGAATTGGTACTGTGTGGATGCATGTGTGCGGATGTTAGGGGCGGACCTAGGATTTTTGAAAGGGGGGTGTCCAGGAAGAAATAAAGGGCACCTTTTCCTGCTTAATTTTTCTGGTGTTTTAATAAGCTGCCAAAGGTACTTGTTTGGGGGAAAACCCCCAAGAATTTTTTTTTTAATTGATGCATTCTGAGAGCATCTGAGCAGTAATTTTGATGTCTAGAATGCAAGATGGAAATCGTGGAATTCCACATTTTTAGCAGAAAATTATCTTTTAATTTTTTAGGGCACTTTGAAATTAAAGGGGAGTCCCAACCCCCCGGACCCCCTCCCCCATTCCTAGATCCGCCCCTGGATGTGCGTGCGCGCGTTTGCCAGCACGTGTCTGTGTTCATGCACACTCGTGTATATATATGCTAAATGATTTTTACTTACATAAACATAACGTACGCAATGGGATTCCTGTTCTAGGGCACTGCTGCCACCTGGTGGCGACCTGCATTGTGGTCGAAACCGTTGGTAGCAATAAATGCATTGCTTATGAATTAAATATACTATTAATACGTAGTATATTTAAAATTTACAATTTTTTCAAAAGTTATGAAACTTGAAGAACTTACAGAGTAATTAAGTAACTAGTCAGAATATTATTGCCTTGGGTTTCTCTCAATATCCTTTGCTATTTCTACGTCAAACTTGTAAATTTGCTTTTCACCAAATCGCATTCCCTATGTTATGTACATGATCCTACACGCGTATTCTGTAACTCATATGCTAATACGCTACCTTTCTCGCTTCTCATCTATTTCTCTCCCTCTGTAGTTTTTCCAGCATGATTATTTATGTGATTCTCTGATGGGGCGACTCCGTAAACGCAGTGGCTTTGAGGTTCTAAAAATATAAATAATAACTAGCAATAATGGTGATTGAATTTGGCTCAGTATAAATAAATAACCCTCAAACCCAAGACAATGTATTTCGGTGTAATTGTCCGAGATTTTAATATATAAATCACATAAACATATTATGTGTTTGTGGGGTTCGCAGCAAGTCTCAATAAATAATGGCAGGTAGGCTTATACTGTGTGGGTGTACATAGATGTATGTGTGGGTATGTGTGTGAATGCGTGCGCGTACACGTCTGTCTGCGCGTGTGCAAGCGCGTGTATGTACGTGCATGTATGTTTACTAACGGATTTACTACTTATATCTATACATACTTCATATATATTCCTGCAAACTCCTGCGTCTTCTGTAGGCAATCTCTAGTGGTGATGATGTCCTGTTCTCCACAGACTACCTATATCTCACCTCACCAAACCTGTACAAAAATATCTCGAGTAAAGATGATGTTTTTGATTTACGCGTGTTTTGATTCACGCGTGTTTGTGTACAAACTAACTCTAGCAAGTAGTCCCGTAGCGGGCATGAAGAAGCGAGTTACAAAGGAAGACTTTACATCTCATGACAACTGCATCTCACGAACTTACTGAAAGATCTGTGTACAGCAGGTCTTATAGTTAGAGCCAATCAGTGATAAATTTGCCGAAGTACATCACATTCTCGAAGTCGACATTTTCTGCAACAGCTGAATGGAAATGGGTGAACAATTTTCTATAAACAATATTTGTAGCAGCATTGTACACACATTGTTATAACATTTGTCCCAAACATTTACTCTATTTGTTCAATAACGTAATGCCCCATTCCCAGCCGTATCCTATTGCTAATTCTTTCTAGAACGTTTAAGCCAATCACATTCGTATATTGTGTTAAATACTCCAGCACATATAATTCTGTTATTCCTATGCTAATGCGCTACATTTCTTTTACCTCGGCTCTATCGCTCCATCTGCAGCTTGCCTGTCATAGTTATCGATGTATTTTCTGATGCCGTGACTCGGTAAATGCGGTGACTGCGATATACTACAATACAACATACAACAAAAATCAGCAGTGAACAAACGCACGATGTATTTTAGGTTACCGTCGTGTGAACATCTACCGCATGCACCTGTCATTATTTTTGAGATGGTGCTGGTTCGTGGTGAATCAGGAAATGTGAAAAATAACCATAAGGTAACAGAAGAGAACTAGAAAACAAACGGCACGCAACAAGAAATAACGAAACATCAAATTCCGCTGTAGCAATATTATGATTGAATCTACCTCAATACAAAAAACGTAAAACCTTACCTCATGATTTTGTATGTGGTTAGCGCAATTGTTACAAATAGTGTCTAAGTCATAAAGCACAGAAACGTTGAGTGCTTTGGGGTTTAGTAATAACTAGACAGAGGGCACTCACGGAGAGTGCATACCTCCGCGAGCATGTAACATGTATGTGCTCGCTGGTGGCTTGCTGCTGACTGACTCGCCTGCTGCTGTACTCGCCGACTCATGGTGGCTGCTGCTGACTCGCCACTCCCTGACTCGACGCGCTATCGATTCGCCGCTCACTGGTGGCTGCTGCTGTGACTCGCCACTCGCTGACTCGACGCGCTATCGATCGCGCGGTGGCTACAAACACACACACACACACGCACACCACACACAAGCAACAACACACACACACACGCGCGCGCGCGCGCGCGCGCGAGCGATTGCATGAGCTCCGTTTGCGCGGAGCTAACTTCATTAAATAATGGTACTGCGTGTGTACGTGCATGCCATACGTGGATGCGAGCGTGCGTGCATTTGCGCGTGTGCGCGCACGTGCGTGTGCATGTGTGTGCGTGTATGTGCATCTGTATGTGCGTGTGTATGTGTGCGTACATATCTGTGTGTGTGTGTGTGTGTGTGTGTGTGTGTTGTGTGTGCGTGTGCGTGTGTGTATGTGTGTGTGTACGCGTGTGTACGTGTGTATGTTTGTATGTGTGTATGTGTGTATACATGTGTGCATGTATGCATGTGTGTATGTGTGCATGTGTGTATGTGTGTATGTGTGTATATGTATGTATGTATGTGTGTATGTGTGTATGTATGCATGTATGTGTGTATGTGTGTATGTATGTGTGTATATGTGTATCTGTGTATGTGTGTGTGTATGTGTGTATGTGTGTGTGTGTGTGTGTGTGTGTGTGTGTGTGTATGTGTGTATGTGTGTGTGTATGTGCGTATGTGTGTGTGTATATGTGTATGTATGTGTGTATGTGTGTTATGTGTGTGTATGTGTGGTATGTGTGTATGTGTGTATGTGTTGTATGTGTGTATGTGTTGTGATGTGTGTGTATGGTGTGTGGGG